AACTGTCAATAATTATTTGGCGCAGACCAATCATTGATAGTCTTAGTTTTCGTCGGACTTACTTGAACGCCATTCTTGCGCTCAAAGTAGCCGGGAACGGAGATATCTAGTTCAATCAAAATGCAATTTATCAAGTTAGCGTAAAGATTTTCTCGCATAATTTGAAGGACTTACCGAAGATGACAGACATCTTTTCGGTGATCTTAATATATACAAGTATATTGTCAAAACAACTTGGTGCAAATTGTATCAATGGACGAAGAAGATCATCTTGTTGGCAGGCGCGGGAGCGTTCTTCGAGCCTTGTTGCATCACAAACTATTCCCACAGAATATCACTGCGGGTACTGACTATCGTTTCCGCGCATTCGAATATGATAGAAACCATATTTTTTGAATCGATCGTGCTGCCAATCATTCCATCAAGGATCATAATCTATCGTTGAATCGGAGTCGGGGCAGGTTTGGTGCATCGTTTAAATGATTGAAAACGTTAACAATGCGCCAACCTGTAAAATTATTAACGCAAAAGTTTGTACTACAATGCGGAGACTTGCTCTCACGCAGATGACCAGCCTTCTGTAGCTGCTACAGAGCTCGTCAATCGCAAAGACATGTTGTTTTTGGTAACGGCCTCTGCCGTGTGATACCATATTTCGAACCAGGAAGTATTCTAGTCTCATGACGAATGCCTATTTCAGATGTCAATTTGTCCGACGCCTTGTCTGAAAATATAGCACCTATTTACTGACAAGTTCATACATGTGGTTTGTCCTTATGACGTCCCACAACTGCTAATCAGACCATCCTTCCGCGTCTTTGCAGCAAGTACTTCCCCAACTTGTTGTAATCGTTGATAGCTTTTTCGACGATCGCACGGATTTGCAAGTTTTGCCTCTCGCCAGGCTACACTTCAGCCTCTTTTTGCTCATCAACGGCAAGTTAAATAATAAACTTGGCATAATTCAATTTAAGTGATCGATAATATCTATGCCACCTTCTTTGTAGTAGGCCACAACGTTTCCAAATTCACTTCAATTATCTTGCTCATGATCTGTTCCTTCATCAATAAACCTTGTGCCTTGATCGGGGGCACGCGAAATACTTGACGGGATGCTCCTCGTGGTGGCCTTCTTATAACTATCTCGGGATTGGTCTTTGCCCCTGATCCCACTATTCTTCATTCTACCAACGACCATGACTTCCATTTCAATGGCTTAGAAGACTGTTTTTTTCTATTACACCTCCAGTCAGTGTCATTACTTTCGTCTTATTGTGCTTGAGAACACGGGGGGTATTGCACACGGCAATATCACATGGACACCTGCGACTTCTTATCAGATGCATACGACCATACCATTTCGTTCGTCGTCATGCAACTCGAATTGGCGCTGAACGATCTTCATATCCATCCCGTTACTGCTAGGCTGGTGACGATACAAACCAAGACATATCTTGGATGATATCGAGCTAATCATCAAGGTAGATTAGGATATACCCGTCTTCATCTTGGAAATACTCAACTTTGATGCCATGCGAATGACTTGCTGTGGCATGTTTATTCTAAAGTAATCGCTTAACGAATGATTGTGTCTCTCTATACATTAGGCAGGCTGACACCATGCCCAGTCATAAATTGCGCTCAAACAAAGTTGTTCGACGCACCAGTGTCAATCAAAGCTCGTAGTGTTTTCACAAATCATCTACAAGGACGTTTTGGACAATACGATCGCACTCTGCCTGACGCTACTATCACTCATAGTGGAAACCGCATATGCATCATGCACGTTGGGCCAGAGTTCTGTGTATCCACAGCATCCGAAGTACTCATCTCGGGTCCTGTAGATATTTTCGCCCTATTGTTTGTTCCCTTCTTTGGCCGTTGTGTGCGTTAGAACCGACGCCCTTTATAGCGTCTATTGTTATCCGAACGACAACCCTGTGCCTGTTGTCAATTCGTCAATGACACTCTGCAATTCCGAGAAATATGACCCGCCTTCCCACTCCGGAAACACTTTCCAGCGTTGAGAGGATGCACATTTCCAGGCGTGGAAATGTACGAGATGTTCATCGGCGCTAGATTATCACTTGTAGCAGTCGATCGGCGCGCTTGCCTTGGTAAGAAGCCAATGATCTTGGCTGAGCTTGATGCTGAAAGCTCATCTTGCCTCGCACGGTTGATGGCATCATCCAACGTCCTGGGACACTTACGGAACAAATAGTGACGGATCGGATCATCGCCATGAACATTACAACCTGCGTTAAAACGTCAATTGGCTCGCCGACAATGCTCAATACCAAATAGTGCGCACGCTGTGTATAGGATTGGAGGTCATAACGTCCCTGATGAAGCTTTAAGAACTCGGCTATGGCACAGAGCTCAAATAGTGGCGGTGCAATCACCTTCTTTAGCTCGGTCTCAAAATTTTAGTAGCTTGAAAAGCAGTTGAGATCGGCCAGACGTTTACCATACGATCAATTCTTCGCACGGCTCGCAATATTGGACATCGCTTACAACACCTGCCGAGAGGGATCTCGCAGTTGTCTTGCAGTGCTTGCTGCATCCAGCTCAACAAACTATCGTGAGACAGGCTCGTTCTCTCCGCCACAATACAAATGCACCTTTAACTTCAGAGGCATTGTTTTGTACGAAAAAACGGGGGTTGCGACCTGTTTCCAAGATTCCATAATCTCATGATGCATGGAACTGACGGCCGCAATCTTTTGATCATCCAAGGAAGACGACCGTAGCAAACGGACTACAGCAGCTTCTCCTAAGACTTCTCGCTTTCGCTCGAGTGCCATCCACTCAGAGAGTTGAGGAAACATCTTATTCGTCAACACCTCAGTTAGCGATACTGTTGGAACGAGTTATATCCCAATTCCATCTATGTCGCTTGTTCAAGGACAAGGGTATAGCTTGGACTGAAATGCGTGACCTGCTCAACAGCAGCGTCGTCAAACCAAAACTGATTGTCGTTGAAAAACCGCTCAAAGTACTTACAAGTGTAAAAGGGCGCTGATCACAACATTTTCTCTAATACAACCCACACGCCTGTGCATCGAGGATACGATTCCCGACGTGGAGGGAGATGGACATCCGGGTTAGAAGGAAGATGAACGACTTAAGACCTTGAATGTAAATATGCGACAGAATTAAAATAAGCTAATTCTTGCTAGCTACATGAAAAACACCCCGAGGGCTTCTTGTGGTTGTCCTAATAAAACATTGGGTTCCTGATCATAAAACCAAGGGTGTATTTAGGCCGAAGCGCAGCGTCAATGAGATCTTTGAAGTACGGAACATGAACTTCGAAAAGCTTGGGCTTCAATTTTTGTAGAAATATCCAGAAGAAGAGACTGGCTTACGCCATCCTCTTCGACAGACAATTACGCCACCAATACAGATCCCCAAGTCAGAACCAGCATTTTTTATCGCACAAGATGTTTTTAACCTCATATAAGATGCTGTGTATGCATTTGGGAACATTATACTGTACTCTCTTTTAAATTTCCACAATGCGTACTGAAGATACGCTAATGTACCTTCATGTAATATTTAGTGTAGCCCATTTCACGTCTTTCTCAAAAGGTTGTGAACGTCCAAGTGTACTATCAAGAATAAAAACCACAGGTCAGCCCATTTGGCAGCGAACAAATGACCAAGAAACTCTTTAAACCATTGGTTAAGCAGAGCAAAATGAATCCATGTCTTCTTTTAATCAAAATATAATAATGACCTTTGCCGCCTAGATATGCAGGCTGGCGCGCTGGATTTCCCGATCATTGCTGCAGGAACTGGCTCAGTCCGGCTGCATTGCGACCTCTTTTTGAGCTTTTTTCTCAATCGATAGTGAATTCTTTCGAGAGCAACAAAACAGACTTGCGAGGCATCAAGCAAAAAGACAAACCTGTTTAGTCCGCTTTATAGACGCGACTTGGTTGAAAGTCTCCTCATTTTTTATGCTTTCAAACTCTGAGTATCTTTTCAAAATCACCGCCTTCGCCGTGAAGAGGAATAGTTTACAGTTGTATGTAATTTCCGGTTCGAGGAATTCGCTAAGAATTTCTCACAATCAGCCATTGCTTCCGTGATTTGTTCCGTTTTAAGTACCGTCATTGAGGGTGGCAGCGCAATAGAGCATTATATAATGATAAAAACTGTTATATATTCCTCGGCAACCTTGTTTGGTGCCGCGGTTTCCCAAGTCAAAATATTGTTTTTCTCATTGTGACTTCCGTGTGAATCGCTCGAAGGCTAATTTCTTGTGCTGCAGCCAAGAAGTTACTAATGGTTTTGATTTCACACCCTCGCTAGGCTCCGCATGGAGGGCTTCTTGCCGGCTGGTAGCTCGATCTTCTCCATAATTATGCGGTGTTGGGCCTTGCTAAGACGCGGCCCTTCCCGTCTTCTCCTGACCGGCGCGAGGGTTCGCAATATGTCTTCACTCCTCAAATCGTGGAAACGATAGAAGAGAACTGTAATGCGCTTACTCCGCATGTTTCGGAGAAGTCTGAGATAGATGGCCAAGACCGACGTGCGGACTCAGAGAATATGATTACTGGAACTGAAGTTCTAATTCCCGAACTACTGAGTCTCATAATTATCTAATCTATGTCTAGTTGAAATAATATTTTTTTTCTTGTACACTACTATATTTGTAAAGTATTAATAAATAAGTAAATTCACAGAGTCTATTGCCAGAATCCTGTAGAGCATTCCTACAGTAATGAAAAGAGACCCATACCCAAGAAGTATGTATTTGTGGGATCTTTAAACTTTTGAGAGTTTTAATACTCGCGAGGCATCCTATATACTAAATATTTGTGCTTACCTTCTATCGGCCTTGTATGTTCATTTAAGTAATCGTTTAAGCAGTTTCCACAAAATTTTGAAACTTTATCTCTTCAAAACAATGATGTTCTGACCCAACCGCGTTGTGAAAAACGCAGACTTACCAAACAAAAAAACTTGTCAAAAATGGTACAAACGATGCGTGTTCACACCTCATCGCCAAATATATGAAGTGATGGAGGCGGAGACGAGTCTGAGGATGATAATGGTGGTGTTGTCCTATAAAGAAGCGTGTCGGAAGGCTGCGCTGTCAATATCTTTGAGTGCGTCATGCACATTCCTTGGCGCTGAGCCCACTTGTCACATCCTGTCACGCAACACTTGGCACCGCCACCGTGTCGACGGCACAATCTTTTTAAATGAGCTTTTTTCTCACATCCTGCTACAACGCAAGGGCGTCCTCCACCATGCATTTTACAACGTCCGTGACTTTGTGATGCTCGCGTACACCCAGGCTCTTGACAGCGTGAGCCACCGCCGTGACGAATGCAAAGTCCACGACTCTGCACACTCTTGGTACATCCTGGACTGGAACAGCGTTTTGATCCACCGTGGCGCTTGCAACGATTAAAAGCTCGAGCTTGACTTTTGCATCCTTCAACACAGCACAATTTGCGCTTGTCTGGTGAAAACTTTGGTTCCTGAGCAAGAGCTAATCCACCTCCTCGTTTTGTTTGACAATATGGTTCAGCCACCGGCGAGAATTCCGACGGCGTGTTCGTACCACCTACGATGCTTGGTCGTGCTGGAAACGTGCCTACCGATACTGCCAGTGTTGACTGCAGCGGGGGACATGGATCTGTGTCAGAAACAATCGGTAGAGAAGAATCGAAAAGACATGGAGTCGAAGTGTCGACAACTTTCCGATTTTCCAACGCAATTTGATCTTGCGATTGCGTATCATCTAAAGCACTTAGATTCGGTGGTAGAGTCGGTACTGAAGCATGTGCACTGTGAAGTGTTGGAATTCCTGAAGTTTATACCAAGTACACGTCAACAGGTAAAGAATTGCTTTGTATCAATTGACTATTCGTACCTTCTGAAAAAAAGTCTACAGTTGGTCTCGAAAAAGTTACTGGCATTGGTGGTTGATAGTAATTTATCGTTTCTGCTGGAAAGTCTGCAAAATTTGGTAATAGTTGAACGCCATATTGCTGATCTGCTTGCTGTGGTGATTCGGGTGGTTGTGGTAACAAATGTGGCAAAAACTCGTGACTGTCTGGAAATGTCGAATTTGGGGGAGGCATGAAAAAAGATTGGATCTCCGTCGAGTCTTCAAGCTGTGGCATTCCTAGCAAGTTGAATGATTGAGGCAGTAGACCACTATTCCCACAATTGCCATTCATTACAGATGAGTCTGTTCTAAGCGATGGAATTACCGGTGAAGGTGTCAATTCGCTAGCAGAATTATACCGATTTAGTTGCGGCGACGCATTATGCTGCCACATTTGCTGACTATCGTCGTTGTCCTTGTCATTGTACCAGTAACGAGGTTGTGCTGGCCGAAAAGGTTGATGCAGAAACGTTGATTGCCCTCTCGGAACTTGGTAACGAGAGTGGTTCCACTCCATCGAGATGCACTGTTCCCAGATTTCAGTTGACGTGACGGAACTCGAACCTTCGCTCTCGTGATCCGCTCGAATGACTGACCAGCAGCCGAACAGGGAAGGGGGGCAAAGAATTTTTGCGACCAACGCTCTGTGTAAGCTTGAATCGTGAAATCGCTTTCAATTCAAGGCGGTTAATTGAATACCTGTCCCACAAATGTGAAGAATATAGACTTAAGTCTTATCAATGGATTGTCATTGATGGACAATTATCAAAAGTAATTTGCGACTTATAAACGTTAGTGATCACACCTTCAGTTAAATGTCGTTGATCTTAGCCACGAGATTAGTGTCAAATTCAAAACAATTGCAATAAATTGATAATTAAACCTTTATCTAATCATGGCTGCACAATTGGTGCGAGCTCGCGGTACAGGACGCCCGCGTAGCCTCCTTCAAGCTCTTCAACTCGTACCATTTCCTGCTATTCGACCAACCTTCGCACATGTGACTACCCGCCGACAACCGTCCACTCATTGTCTTGCGTTTGTGTTCAGTACATCTTCATTACCCCAAAGCAATAATAAGTCCAGTGACGAGTTGATTGTAAAATCGTTAAAAGATTCATATAGGATCGAAAAAGATACATGGGCCGAACGTCATGCTCCCGAGTGGATGCTACCTTACATTCAGGTCGCACGAATTAACCGTCCAGCACCAATTTTTATGTTACTATGGCCATGCTTCTGGAGTATCTCCATGGCCGCCCCTCATGGTCAATTCCCGGACTTCAAACTTCTAGCACTTTTTGGTGTTGGCTCTTTCATCATGCGAGGTGCTGGTTGCACCATCAACGACATGTGGGACCGAGACTTTGACAAACAGGTCGAACGCACCAATCAGCGACCTTTAGCTGCGGGGAGACTCACGTATCCGCAAGCGTGGACTTTCCTAGCGATTCAATTGTCAGCTGGCTTGGCAGTATTATTGCAGCTTAATTGGTACAGCGTAGCCTTAGGTGCGTCTTCACTCGCATTGGTTGCTACGTATCCACTGATGAAGAGGGTGACATACTGGCCACAAGCAATCTTAGGCTTAACGTTTAACTATGGAGCAGTTTTAGGATGGGCTGCTGTCCATGGATCATGCGACTGGGCAGTAATTCTTCCATTGTACGCAGGTGGTGTGACTTGGACGTTGGTGTACGATACTCTGTACGCTTATCAGGACAAGAACGACGATGTCAAAATTGGTGTACGATCAACTGCACTACTGTTTGGAGATAAAACGAAGCCAGTACTTAATTTCTTCTCGGCTGTCGCAATTGCGGGATTTGGCACTGCAGGATACGTAAGTGGCTTAGAGTGGCCATTTTTTGTGGGCCTTACGGGAGGAGCTGCACATTTAGCGTGGCAGGTAAATACTGCCAAGCTTGATGATCCAATCAACCTTCAAGAACGGTTTGCTTCCAACAAGTGGTTCGGAGCGCTTATGTTTGCATCTGTTGTACTGGGTAATGTCGCGTGAGACGTGATCAAATCAAAATAACGCAAGAGCGAACTATCTTAAAGATCGAACGTATTAAGTCGCATTCGGAAAACGTGCAAGATTTTCTTTCCATAGAAGCACAAGAGATTTTGTATTCCATGAGTCGAAGGTTTGGTGACCTACATACTTGAAGACAAGATCGTTTTTCAGCGTCACCAATTCGTCTTTCTTTAAAGTCATTGTTATTTGTGTTGATGTAGTGCTGCTGTCGTTGTCACTTTAATCACGGCGCGATTGTTGGTCTTATAGATACATAGTTCTAGATAGATCTGGATATGCGCCTGCTATATTCTTCTATCGCTTAGCTTAGTTTCTGACATAATGTATATCCATTTGCGAAGAAAAACGCGGTTGAAGTCAAAGACAACGTTGGTGATGACTACGAGTACAAAGAGTAGGGACACGAGAATAATGGGCGACCTCAAACCATCACATGTAAGCACACGACTCCAAATTACTTCGTCCAGTTTGCCAGCCTCGACTTTTTGACTTAAAGGTAGGTATTTCGGCAGGACGTGAAGGTTTTGTGTGTGCGCTATATACGTGGCTTTGGTGTTAAGGGAAATTTAATGAGAGATGGATCATTTCACAAGCAATTTCAGATGAATTTACATATCATATATTAACCTGTGTTTATACGGGACCAAACTTTCTGCGAATGGGATCATAAAGTGACAAGATCTGCGTCACATCCTCTAAACTAAATCCTGCGTGATCGAGAGTTATCGCCACCTGAATGCGAGGGATATTCCAATTGCCCCATTTTATCAAAAGGTTGTGCAGACCAACTGTTAGCTCACCATTACGTAAATTTGCGTTACCTTCGACTTGTTCAGAAGCGAGCTTGACTTGGTTTTGGATTGAATCACCGGGAATGAGCACTAGGCCTGCGTTTGAAGGGGACGCGATTCTTTCTTGAATGACAATTACTCTCGGTAAAGACTCCTCCCTGAGCTCAGCGCGAAAAAGTGTTTGAAGAATTTGCTCTCGCGATATGTTACGAAGAATCCAGAGCGTAATTAATTTCGTCCAGATGGCTTCGAACCGACTCTGGTCGAGATCCAAAATCGCGTGTTTTTCAGCTGACTTAGCAACTTCGACATCGGATGTCGTGATAACGCTTGGGATGCGACACTTCTGGCTGTCGGGTACACGCGAAAAAGTCATTGCTGCTTCTGCTCCTTTTGTTGACTTGAGTTCGTCGAAAATGGCCAAAATTGTCAATAAATCGTTCTGTTCTACTTTTGCATATTGAAGGGTTTGCTGTGTACGTTTCCTTGAATAGTTACGCATTATCCAATTTGTCAGAAGATCACTCCAGTGGTCTTTGAGGTTGGAAGTACGAAGGTGCATCACTATCTTCTGGTCCTCAAGAAAAGTTGCAGCATCCAGGTCTTCCTTGACGATAACTCCGGGTGGAAGTAAAGCGGCATCGAGGACTGAAAACCTGGAGGGGTTCGGATCGAGCAGCTGATCTTCCTGCACCAAAGATACAGTTTTTTGATATCGTGGGTATCGTTTGCAGCTCTTGTCCGGCTTCTCGGAAGGCCATTTCCACCTGTATGGGAGGATAGTTCAGTTGCTTCCAATGCAAGAAGACTCCATCAAATGTGCTGATATTTTGGTAAAGACGACTGAGAGAGTATTGTTGTTGTGATACCTTAAGAGCATCACGAATGGCTCTGATATCCCATTGAATATTAGTTTGAGGCGACTCCGTCTGAGTATTTATTGACCTGGACGACGAAGCAAGGAACTTCGCCCGAATGCCTTCTATATTCTGCGGTTTGATTTTCGGGGCCCTCTCTTCACCACCAATCATATCCTCTCGAATTCCTGGTACTTGTGTTACATGCGCCTTAGGTCGGCGATGATTTTCATCACCTTTGTGGTTATCATCATCTTGAAAAGTCTGGGTAAACGTAGTGTACGGCGCTGCTGCGACAGCATATGCACTGACAAGTGATGGTGCAGCAACAAGAAGACACAACAAGAAGACGCAACGAGAAGGAGACATCTTGTATTCGCATGGTGATTAGAAAGTTCGTCGTGGAGGGATCAGTTGCGGGCTTGATGGAGCGAAATGAGAAATGAAGTGGTAACAATACAATATAGACACCAAAGTATTTTTCAGGATCCCGCACAAAAGATAGGAGACAGAATTCTGCGGTTGAAAGGCAGTTAGATAATGCGTCATAAGGACGTTGCATCTGTTCAAAGCACACCCACCAAAGTGGCCACTTTGTGTCATTGCGTCCTGAACAGACGGTAGATTAGAAAAATGAGTGGCTAACACTCACAAACTGTCTCATGTGATGATGATCAGAAATGTTTGAAGTCACCTGTTTCCGTCGCGCACCAGCCATTGACAAGTTAGGATGCGAGGATTAAAGATGAGTTTGTTCAGAGAGTCTCGTAAGGTAACTTATCAGATGTTAAGGATTCGTCCACATTGAAATCATACTCAAAACATGTGTTTTAGTATGTGAAGATGCTGAAAGCACATAATTCTGCGGTAATTTTTGTGCCTTAGCTGGGATACACGTTTTGCGCTGTGAAAGAACTACGAAGCAGGTCAATTACAGGTAGTACCGTGTATCTAGCTCTAAAACTGAGGAGAAAATTTACATGTACTGTGGCTGAAGGTTTGCGTTGACTGTCACGTTTTAAAATTTTTACTGTTTTTTGTATTGTTAAATCGTCTTCGAATTTCTGACCACCCATCTTGGACGTTGTGTTGCATAAACACAGCTGAAGATACAAAGTCGCCAAGGGAGAAGTCGTCGTTTGAGTAAATTCAAGACGTGAAATTTATTTGAAAACTAACGGTTCTCTTATAGGTACGGAAAAGTTTATTAGTGATGTGCTGTATGTTGTGCTGGATGCCGTGTTGATTGCATTTGTTGATGACTGGCGGTGGAGCTTCATGTACCACATGATATGAATTATGTGCTTAGCTTAATAACATTTAAAGTGAGAATTAGCAAAGCTCTAAGTTGGAGGTGGCTGACTTTACAAAGTTTACTATACTAAAATACATTTACACAGATTGAAAGACGTGTGCTGATTACGAAAGAACTCGGCAGGGAATACTTCTATCAACATTATTGAAATTAAATCGAACTAAGCTGCATCTTGGCGATAGATGCGACTATATGGTCGACTGTGCAACAAGGAACGATCGTTTGTCAGATGTTTTCGACAAAATGAAACTATTTCTCAAGTTCTAAGCGATATCTAAATGTTTTGGAAATTGCCTTGAAACATTTAGGAGCGAATCGATGGTGCAGCGCGGCAGAAGAAATTTCAATAACCAGCTGCTAGACAACATACGCCACACTGGGGCCTGACGATTCTCAATTCGATACAAGCGTTGAACCTTTTTCGTACGACTGTTCAAAGATTCAAGATTGTCGATTTTCTGCACTTGCCGCAGTCCCTTCGCCAGTGACTGCGAAAAATTGTACGAACATGTGGATTCCGGCGGCTCGTCTACCTCCAAGCATAGGCTAGACGCAATCCTAAGCTCTCTTGTTTCTGAAAGTCAACCTGCGGTATGGCGAGAATGTCTCGTTCATCTCCGCGACGTTCAAGAGTATGCGCGTCGCGGCGATTCGTTCGTCTGCTCTTCCGATGATGGCCTGACGAGGCTGGGTAACTTGCAGGTTACTGTATGTGGCATCAGGTCACGATTCGTGGGCATTCATAGTACGACACACCGTACTTTGTGGATTTGACCCGTCTTCAGGAAGACGTTACCGATCAAGCGATCCACGACTGGTTCGTGCAAAGAGGAGCCATATCTGTTCTGATTACTCCTACGCACCAGCATGGTCAAGTGAAGTCCATGTATACTTTAGCAGTGATGGTTGTCCTGCCTGGCCTGCCGGGCCCTTCGATCGACCGGAGAACCTCTTCGGGGATACATTTCAACTCGGAAAAAAAAGCCGTGCTTTGTGCAACACAGGCTACGCAAGTTTAATCGAAAGCCGCCATCCTTACTGCCCCATCCTCGTTGGTCGTCGTGACGCTAGCAAGATTGGCAGTGAGGTTGCCGCCGAGCACGAAGTTACAACCCATGACTTCAGCGAGCCACAAGTGAGGACACGGATTTCTAGACGAGCCATCTGCTCATGCCACGCTCACCGGTCGTGCCTCAACTTCTACTGGGACCAGAGCGAAGCGCATGATCGTTGATGCCGTTCCAGAAGGCGCAGCAGAGCGGAAACTCGTTCAGCATTTGCAAAACAAGATCATCAATCACGACGGCGGCAAGTACATCGAGCCAATTTGGCCTCGTTCCCTACGAGTTGAAGTGTGAAGTTTGGAACCCCTATTCGCTAATATACTATTTTACATATCACCAAATTGCTGTGACATTCTTCGGGATGAGGGATTTGATTCGACCCTCCCGTCTAATGTTGATCTGGAAGCTGGTGAGCAAGACGGGGATGTCGATGGAATATACCCCAATATCTGGATTTACTGCTTCCTCTGACCTTATACCGTATGGGGAGAAGGCTAGTCCACTGAAAAGTGTTCGTACCCTCGCCTTAAAGTCGATCAAGTTTCGATAGAAGAATTTTACCATGTCATCAACTAATTCATCGAACAAAATGTGCTCAAAATGACATTTCACGAAGACGTCCCGGCAGCTATTTAAGCGTAACCTGCTTATTTCGACGCATCTTTCAGCTTCCTTCCAGTCGTCGAGACAAACTATTTCATGCACACGTGGTGTATCGTGCAATCGGTGCGGAGATTGTCGCTGGTGGTGGATCTTTGGATTCCCAAGATCGTTTGAAAGAATGCTATGGCATAGACTCAGTTGATGCTTCCATCTTCCTAGAGACTATGTTTTCAAGTAGTGAAGTTCAAGGCGCTGCGGTTCACGGTGTCGTCAGTGACTTGTTCCTGATGGTGTTTGCGCCAGGTATAGATATCGATTCAGTCAAAATCCAAGCTTTTCTTGGATCATTACTGCCCCCAAACGTCTTCGTCACTCCCTTTTTCCGCTCTGGAGTGACCTCAATCTTCTCTGTTTGGCTCAAACTGATGCGACGAAGATCTTTATTAACGACAATCGTGCGCCCAAGTACGTACTTGAGGCACTTAACGATTTAGCAACTGTCTCGTTGCATAAAACGATAGCTAAAATGCCCTCTAGATTGGTGAGCCCTCACCTCTAGAGAGGCTTGAACATTTAATGAAGTCTCGCTGAACGGGAATACAGCCAAACTCGACACGTATCAGCGACTTATCTCGGAACATCAACAGGTCGCGTTCCACGAAACAAAATTCAACAAAGAATCCTCACTGCAGACCAGCAAAATGACTCAGGAGCGCGCTGCTTTTGGTTCGACACCACGTCTCCTGTCTTCAACAAGAGACATGGCGCTGGCCTGATATTGTCATCAGCCTCACCGTTCGGCGATGTTGAGACCTCAGTTGTCAAGTCTACAAGGGCCAATTACACAGTCGATATTTATCACCCAAATCCACGCTTGGTACTCAGACGCTGTCTATACATATTGTTTACCCACCTGATGAGCCCCAACGACGCGGTGATTTCTTTCGTGCTATTCCGACTCACATCATTCTCAACGACACAATAAGCGTTTTTTGGATCTAGCTTCACCTTCTCAGGTGCTCTCTACCAGTGCCCCTGCACTAGTAGAGAGAAACTGGGTGACTAGCTTGACGTGTTGGGCTTGATCGATGCATGGCGCTTTGTGCATCAGGAAACAATGGACAACATAGGCCCAACACGCAAAAACCGACTGAGATCAAGAATATAAGGGACCGAAAGTGGCAAAACGAGGTTCACATACCGGTCGGGTTTCGGCTACAAGCGAGCTTTATGCCAACAATGAGGCGCGCGCCGTGGCGATGCCCCACATCGTTTCTACAAAATCCTGATGTCATCACATACCTCACCTCGTCGGCGGAATGACTGGCGGCACTTATCCGGAATTTCGAAGGCGCTAATCCAGGGTGTCTTCTGGATGATACAAGCGTTCCCATTGCATCATTCTTCGCAGTCGATGGTTCGAACTTCGACAAGTTGGTGCGGGAGAAATGGCCATAAGAGTCGCCGCGGAGAACGACGCCATCGACCTCTTCAATCTGGCTCCAATCGACTGCAACAAACAAGCACTACAACAAGCACAAGCCGATCTGAGTGCATACAAGAAGGCGATACAAGAAAGAAACGCGATGAGCAAATTTGCAGCCGACTTACATCTTAGTGAGCGAGCAACAAAGCACTTTTTTCGTCCACCAAAACAGGACTGTCTCAGGTCCTTCATCACAAAAATCCGACGTAGCGATGGGTTGAGGAGCGACGACCCTGTTGAAATCGAGGCGGGACACCGCAGGTTTCAAGGCAAGTATTCTAATCGACTTTGCCGGATCTCCGTCATCTACGGTATACTTTATATCAGCCACTTCGCCTAGCGCGAATGCTACGGCAAACAATGGCAAAACTTACGCCAGCACAACTGCGTCTGCTCGATGCGCCCATCACGGCAACCGACTTACACTGGTCGAACATGAAATCCTTCGATGGAAAAGCGCCGGACCCCGACGGATTACCTTTTGAATTCTACAAAATTTTGCCAAGTATGTGGGCTCGCATACACGACAATCAGTTATCAAAGGGAAAATGACTATGTTCTTAACAAGACTGGAGATGGATCGCAGTCTAGGAACTATCGTCCTTTGACCCTGCTGAGCCATGATGCTAAGCTTGGTCCCAATATATTGGCGCGGAGGCTGGAACTGGTGCTTTCTTCGCTGATACATGAAGATCGAAGTGGGCATATACCTAATAAATTTATCCGTCACTCTCTTGTTCGAAGCTAAGACTTAAAAGAATTATGCAAGCACACTTTCCCGGACGCTTGTGCTGTTCTTATCGATTTTGCCAAGGTCTTTGATAGTGTACTATGGCCAGCGTTGGACATGGTACTGCGTCACTTTGGATTTGGTACGACCTTTTGAGCCTGGATCAGAACATTTTACAACCAGACTTCTGTTAGTTTGCTGTTGAACAACCCACCAGGAGTTTCTTTTGATCGGGGGTCGGGGTACGACAAGGTGACCCACTATCTCCGGGCTGTTTGTGTTGCTCATCGAACCACTCATGAATTACTTACGTGCTCAAGTTTCAATGCGAGGATTGGATATTGACAATGGATCATCCCCACAATTGCTACTAGCTTTTGCAGACGACTGCACCGGTCTACTAGCTGATGTTTTTTTATACACCTGAATTCCTGGATGTGGTACAAGATTACGCGTTAGCATCAGGACTACGCCTAAACATGAATAAAACGCGCGTCATGCCGTAAACGCACCAAGTCGA